ATCTCGCGGGTGAGTCCGGCGGCTGCGGGGCGGCGGGGCGGTCCCGGGTCTGAGATCGAGTCCTCGCGGTCCACCCGGGACCCAGATCCCCGACGTGTCCGAGGCCTGAAAGCGGAGGGTTGGCCCGGGTGCCCCGCATGCTGCAGAGGCGGCTTCCACGCAGGGCAGCGCCGCCGCAATCCCCCTCCCCTTCCCTTGGGGCCTGCCTGCCCTGTCCTACAGAAAGTCTCCCCAGGAGTTCACACCCCACCCTCCTCGCTGGCCTCACATAGGGGGCGTCACCGTGGGTCAGGGAAGGACCCACAGACCCGAGCCAGTGGTCTGGGCGGATCTACAGAGGCCCAGAAACTTTTCAGGCCCAACCCTGCCTGAAGATTTGGGGCAAAGTGACTGAGAGCCCCCTTCCTCTATTAAGGGTCCCTGTCAGCAAAGCTGATGACCCAGGGAGGTCTGAGGTCGTCTCTGAATCTGAGAAGAGAAAGGTCACTCCACTTCTCCACTATGGGCTTTAGTCAGTCTCTCATTCATGACCTCAGTCACCCTGAGGGTAGTGACCAGGAGGAATTTTGGCTTCCAAGGAAAGATGAGACTTGACTATGGGGTGGTGAGACCCCTCCCCACATGCCAAGCAAACCCAGGGGCCAAAATAGCCTTAAGCAAGTCCCTTAGTTTCCCAGGGCCTTGCCTTTCCCCGGGCTTGGAACAGAAGAGGAAAAAGAGGGGGCACGACCCTCAGGGGTGGCTAGTCTAAGGACAGAGGAGGGGACTCAGGCCCAGTCGCAGGTGATGCCCATTCTAGGGGAGACAGGATCCTGGCCCAGCCTTGGGGTCCCCTTGTCTGGAGGGGCAGAAGAGAAGTCTCAGACCCTGCCCTTGGGAGGATCCAGCCTAGGAGATAGAAGAGGAGAGAGCCCAGGCTCTGCCCTCGGCAGCTGCCTGTCTGCATGGAGGAGAGGACCTGACCTGGGACCCTCCAAGGGCTATCCCTTGCTCCCACAGAGGCTGCTCTGGTCTTTGGGGGCCTGAGTCAGAGGAAGTGAGAAGCACCTTCCCCCACCCTACTGTCACCTCTCGCCATGGGGGCTAGGCCAAACTGGCTGGACTTTCAGAGACTTCTTTCCAGTTCTCGGGAGGGGGTGGGCACCGGGTGGAGCGTGTAATCATGGAATCCCATTTCTGGGGGCCAGAGTGACAGGCAGGCCCAGCTGTCCGGGGAGGCGTCCCACATCTGCCCTCATCGCCAAGTCCTTAGGGCCAAGTGAGGTGGGCCTTCAACACATCCGGGAGCCTTTCATCTCCCACTTTCCTGAGGGACCCCTGCTGGGTGTGTTCATGTGAGAGCCTCTGTGTCTGCCTGTGTGTGTCATGCTGTGTGTCTGCTGAGGGGGCTGGTGGGGGCACTAGGCCAGCCAGCAGGACAGGCACCCTGGGCGTGAGGCCGCTGACAGGCTCAGTGGCGGCGGCTGACGGCCGCAGGCGGCAGGGAGCTGAGACATCTGTTGCCCACGCGGCTGCCTGCCCGCTGAGAAAAGGCCTCCACACGTCACAGCGGCGGCAGCAGCGGCGGCAGCAGCAGCCTTGTTTGGAGCTGACTGGGGATGCAGGCCTCTGGCAGGCAGGCAGTCTGGGAGAGGGTTTGCCAGGAAGAGCCCCCCTTGTCCCCCAAAGTCACGCGGCAGCAGCTCAAGCCCAGGGAGCCAGGATGGCTGAGCCTGGGTTTGGGTGGGATCTGGGGAGATTTACAGGACTGGGGAGGCACAGGCCACAGCTTGCCTAGCAGGTACCTCAGGGGCAGGTTATAGGGTTTGATGATATGTGGGAGTGTCTTCCCAAGGGTCTCAAGATCCAGCCCCTCCCATGCTTCCTGGGCCTGCCCCACTTAGGACCCAGTAGAAAGGGACAGCCTCAGGCAGACAGGGAGGAGGCTGGCTGCCTGGCAGAGCTGGGAGCTTGTAGTCTCAGCGCATGAAGTCTCAAGGGTCCCCAAGAACATTGTCCAGGGCTCCTTCCCCGCAAACAGTAATGATTGCTGGCCCTGGTCCACCATCCACAGCATGCCAGGCCCTACCCTAACGGGTGATATTCTAGCAACAGGTACCTAGAATAAGCACCACCATATGCGAAGCCTCCTGTGGGGCTTTACATGCCTTGATTGTCTCAGGTAGTCCTCACAACAACACTTAGAAGTAATGACTCTCTCTAGCTTTACATTATAGAAGAGGGGACAGACGCAGAGAGGTTAAGGTAATGTACCCCAAGAAGCAGAGTGGGGACAGGAGTCCAGGCCATCTGGAGCTTGCTGTGACTTATGGGACGATATGGCACCTGACTGGGACTGTAGCTCCGACCCACCACAGCATCTGGGCTGGGTGGAGCAGGGCTGGGAATGCAGCCGCTGCAGGTGAGGGGCTGATTCATGCTCCAGTCTCCCACCAACCTGTCTGGGTTCCTCCTGTCTGCTTATCCTGCACTTAGAAGCTAGAGAGATGGGCCTGAATTCCACTCTGTCCTGTCACTTCTCTGCTTAGAACCCTCTGTAGTTGCCAACCACCCAAAAATGTCAGCTTCCTGCTGGGCACACAAAGTCCTGCAAGATCTGGTCCCAGCCTCTTCTCTGACGTTATCTCTTCCACTCCCCTCACAAATGATGCTTGGGCCACATAAGCTTCTTTCTACTCTGTCTCCAGATGAGCCATTATACAAGGGGAGAATCCCCCCCAAGAATGGAATTTATTTATAAAAAATTGTGTATTTTTTCTTACATATTTAAACTTCAGTCACCTTCAAAGTACCCTGTTTGATGCTGTACACCTATTGAGATGCCTTTTTCCACTGCTCAAAACAGTTTTTGAACTCATCAATTTTTAATGCCTTGTAGCGCTTCTGCCATTTTCTGTTTCACCTCTCCCACATTGGCAAAATGTTTCCCTTTGAAGACTTTTTTATCTGGGGAAACAAAAAAAAAGTGGCTTGGAGCAAAATCAGGTGAATAGGGAGGGTGGCTCAAAGGGGTCATGCCATTTTTAGGCAAAAACTGCCGAACACCCAGTGCTGCGTGGGCAGGTGCACTCCTAAATCACTCATCATGAAATGGGTAAATGTGTTGAAAGAATCTCCAAGAAAAAAAGGAAAAAAAATTCACTGAAGCCAAACGCAGCCTCTTGCCACAACACTCACAACACTGGTTGGTGCACTGTTGCTGATGGGTTCCTAGAACACTAACCTAGTGGAGTAACTCTGCACTACAAGGGGTCCACCCTCCAAAAAATGATCCCCCTTTGTACATGCTGGTCCTTCTACCAGGAACACTATCTCTCCCTGGGACACTGTCTCCCCTCGCCCCCTTTTGGAAGAAAAGCACAATGGTTAAGATCATAGGTTCAAGTTTGGAATCAGTGGGCTTGGTTTGAAATCCTAAGTGTTCTCTAGTTTGGTTTCCTCATCTAGGAAATGGGCTTGCATTCAGGATTAATGAGACAATGCATATAAAGGTGGCTAGAAGAGTCACGGTTTCCTGGCCTCACGCCCTCTCTGACCAGAACTCTCCTAGCTCTGTGGAGCTGGCAGCTTCCCAGCCACCCCTGCTTTCAAGAAACTTCCTCCACCCACGAGAGTCTGAATACACCCCTTGTGCTGGCTGAGTCATCCTGCAGTGAGCCCCCACTGAAGAAGACTCTTCTCCAGTGTGAGGACGAGGGCAAGGAACACCTCCCCCAAGCCTCTCTTTTTTCATCTGCCAAATAGGGATGAGAACAGCCTCTGCCTCACCCGATGGTTGAGGGGTTGCCGTGAGCTAGCTGTGGGTAAAGCCCTGAGCCCAGGCCTGGCACAAAGCATGTATGAAGGGGAGGGAGCCTGGAGCAGGGTCTCAAGAGAAGGGTGGGATGGTGCCAAGTGGGCATCTCCCCCAGGAGGAAAGGCTTGTACAGGTGCCCAGACCCTACAAGTGAATATTAATGGTGGGGGTGTTTGGCCGAGGATGTCATGCTTCAGAAGAGGAACGTTCCTTGAGGCAGCCTATTTCAGGGCAGGTCAGCTTGGGCAGTGCCCACACAAGGCCTCCAGCCAAGGAGCAGGCAACACCTCAGCTTTGTCTACTCACTGCTGGGAACTGGCTGCGCTGAGCCTGGCTGGGCTTCCAGGAGCTCCCACACCCACTAGTAGGAACAGGGTCACTGGTGGCCCTTGAGCCACAGCTGGGCACTGACTGGCAAGGCTAGGTGAGAGTGAGGGTGCTCCAAGTTTATTCCTAAAGGCTGTGTTGGGTCCGGAACAGGGTGAAGGTTGTCCTGATGCCTGAGTTGCCTGGGATGTTTACTCGGGTCTCTCTGTGCATCTAACCCCACCCTCTTATGTGGCTTTCATCAGATGACCAGCATTGTAAGAGTTTCCAGATGTGAGCACTGCTTGACCCTGTGGGGTCACTAGTGGCATTGAAGCAACCTGAGTGTCTGGCTTGCAGGGGAAATGGGGGTGGAATTCTGATCCAAGTGCAGGCTGGCGGCTGGAACTGGATGTCCTGGACTTGCCTGGGGAGAGGATGTTGAGACCTTCCTATCATGAGGTATTAACATTAACAATGTAGGGGGCAAAGATGGTTGGGGCACACAGGGTACTGCGAGAGCCCAGAGGAGAGGCTCCAGGGGAAATGGCCTCTATGCTGAGACCCAAAGGATGACAGTTTGTGAGTAAAGGAAAGTGTGCTCCAGGTAGCGGGAACAGCATTTGCAGAAGTATGGAAGTGAGAGATATCTGGTGCCTGTGAGTACCTCATAGACATTCAGATGATCTTGACAGTGTGCATGGTGGAGGATAATGTAAAGGTGATGATGAGAGGTGAGATCGAAGAAGTAGGAAGGCAAGGTCACTAAGGGTTTGAATGTTGGGCCAAGAGGCTGCTATGTAGTCTGACTGGGTAGGGGCATCGTCTGTTTAGGGTATTTGTGACATGCCCGTGATTTGTATGTGTCTGCAAGCACATATGTCGCTGTGTGTCTATGTGTCTCCTGCATGTCCTGGGGCACATATGCAAGCTTCAAGAGCAACACCTGCTTGTCCCAGCCCAGAGGAAGTACCTCTCATAGACTCTCACACCCTACTAAGGTTTCTAGGTGCTGGAGTTGAGGGTATTTAGAGCAGAGGCTGCAGCAAGGCCACATAGGGACCCCAACCAGTCTCTCGGCTTGCTCATGCACAGGTCATGTTGGCAGCAAGGCCACACTGGCCAGGTTCTGAGGTTGGAGGAGGTCTACAACAGAAGCTGTGGCAAGGCCACATAATGGCTGTGCCCAGCTATCTGGCTTGTCCACCCACAGGTTCATGCTGGCAGCAAGGCTGCACTGGCTGCCCTGTGCCCAGGAGACCTGATCCAGGCCATCAATGGTGAGAGCACAGAGCTCATGACACACCTGGAGGCGCAGAATCGCATCAAGGGCTGCCACGATCACCTCACGCTCTCCGTGAGCAGGTATGCATCAGGCAGGCTGGGCTGGGTGATGGTGCAGTTATGGGCAATCAGCCTCCTGAGTGAGCTGGGTGGGCTTCAGGCAGCTTTTCTGTCTCCGCCCCCAGAGAACCCATCCAGACATAGTCCCAAGGAGTAGCACTTTCATGGGGGCCTGGCAGACACTGTTTAGAGCTGGTGGTAGAGCTGGCTCAAGGCCAGAAGTGTGTTGAGACACTTGTGACAAGTATCGCAGGCAGCTGAAATAAGACCTTGAGTAGCCTCTGGGTGTTTGTTTCCTTCCTTTCCTCTCCCCTGAGTGATCAGCTTGATGACCATTTCAAAGCAGTTTCTTGTCTAACACCTCATTTAACCCTCAAACCAACTTAAAAAGGGTAAAACCCACTTTTCAGATAAGACAACTGAGGCTCAGAAAGGTTAGCGCATGCTCAAAGTGACACAGCAAAGGAGCAGGACAGCAAAACCTGACCTCAGGTCTCCCTCACTCCTAAAGACCCCAGTCCTTCTACTTGGCTGCCAGCCACTCCCACAGCTGCCCTCCCTCAGCTGTTTCTACCATGGCCTAGGCCTCTACCCAGGTGAAATCTGGATTTGGGAAGAGCTTCCTGACATGGACTGTGTAATGCAGTATAACCTACCATGAAGGGGATGAGAGGGTCACCAGGCCCCGTAGATGATCCTAGGATGGAAGACCCACTTGTGGCCCTGGTCTTGCTCAGGGTCCTGGGTCTTATTCAGCTGGGTCTTACTCAGCTCCGACAAGCAGTTGATCTAAGCCTGGCCGGCTGGGATCTCCCCATCCTCCCTGCCCTGCCTGGATCCACAGAAGTCAGACATAACCGTTCAACTCTGCCATGTTCACTGCTAACAGGGACTTTCCACAACCCCTGTGGAAGTGTGTGGGCGAAGCCTCCCAAACCACAATACGGCTTGCTAACCATGCCTTAGAGCTGGCAGAGCAGGAGGTGATCCATTGGCTCAGAGCCGTGAAACATGGTGGAAAGGCTTATGAGGTAGCCCCCGTTTGTGCCTGGCCCATGTCCAGGCCGGGCTCAGGACCCCTGGCTGTACCCTTGGCGCTGAGTGGGCCCAGCTGCAAGTCCAGGGCCTTGAACGCTCCACCAGGCAGAGGATAGGATGTCCTGGCCTTGGAGTTCAGCAAAGCTGGTCCTCATCCAAACTCTGGAATCTTAGGTACCCAGATGACCTCTATGAGCCTGGGTTTCCTTTCCCAGAAAACGGGATCACATTCATCACCCTCATCCTGACTGAGATACAGGCTGGATGGGGGAAATGTCAGCACTGCCTCTGCCCACGAGTGGCCTCTGAGGCCTCCCCACTTGGCTGAGTTCCTGGGCCTGACTCACCTCTAGCTTTGACTCTGTGTAGCTGAACAAGGACAACTCTGGTGGTAGTGGAGTTGGAGGAGGGGCTCAGAGGAGGCCTGAGTCAGGAGATTCCCAGAGAGAATGATGTCAGGGGAGGGTGATGGGCTGGGTGCAAGTCCCCCTTCCTTCCTTCCTCTCTGCTTTCCCTGGTCATGTGTTCCAAAACAGGCATGGTTAGAGTCAGAGGTCCACTGACCTGTTCCACTTTGGGCATTTCAGCCCCCAAATGCTACTGGCCATGGACCAGATAAGAGCACATTCTCTGCTATCAGAGCTGGTTCCAATCCCAGCTGTGCACTTGACAACTATGCTGTGCTCTAGCAAGTGATCCAATCTCTGAGCCCTTAACAACTTCCTCAGCCCTGAAATGGGAAGCATCTTGTTATCTGGGCATTGAGTAATAATGATATACCAGGCCTACTGTGTCAGAGTGAAAAATTGAGTCCTGCCCTTTCGCCCTCTATCCTAACCCTCACACCTGCAGGGCCAACATTTCTTCTCCTGGACACTTTTCCTACCTGCCAATTCCTGCCTATGTTCTCTATCTTGCCCACTGTGCCAGGACTCATGTCTGGGCCCCAATGCACCCCCTACACACAACATGGGCTTTATGGAGGATCAGCCTGGTGAGCTGGCTCGAGTGAGCTACTCTGTGCTCCCACTCCCAGGGCTCTAACCAGACCAGCCTTCCTCTTGTTTACAGAGCGTTCTAACCCCCTACAGGATGAAAAGTGTTGCAAAGGCCCAGCTTCCCCACTGGTTCATTTTGCCTCGAACCCAAAGCCAGGCATCTCCAACACTGCAAGCTAAACCACACTTCCTTGGCATGTTCTGTTAGGTCCAGGACCTTTCTGGTATCAACCAATCCTGGGGCCACTGATGGGGCCTGTAGCATTGCCGATATAACATGTGGTTCAAGATACCTTTGCACAGCCTACCCTTTGGCTGTCATTTTGTTTAAAGACAGGTAGATGGAGCCAGCTGCCCAGCCTGAAGTGGAGGCCTGGGATGGAAGTTGCAATGTGAATAAGCCCTTCATTCTGATGTGATGCCTTGGGCCACCCTCACGGCTTTAGGCATTGTGCCCTCTGACCCTTAGACCTCAGACTTGTACTTGGGCAGAACTTCAGGGAAGTATAAGGCCAAATAACCACACAAGTCCCAGGCTTATCCCGATGGAGTTCTGAGTAGGTAGAGGCCACAATTAGAGAGAGAGGCCACGGATTGGTATTGCCCTGGGGCAGCAGAGCTCATGCTGAGGGCCAGAGGCCACAGAAGAGAGAGGTAGCCTGCAGGGAGCTAAGGAATGGGCAGAAGTGAAGAAATGCAGAGTGAGTATGGACTAAAGATGTCAACTGTATTATTAAAACCCTCAACTGAGGAGGGGAGAGAGGCAGGGTTGAGCTGCCAGGCCAGTGGTGAGACCTCATGGAGCCTCAGGAGGCCTCTTGGGGTGAGTTGAAGGATGTCATTCCCCTTTGGTCTAATCAGCCTCACTTCACACCCACCTGTCAGTCCAGGGCCCATGCGCCCTCCTGGCTGCCTTCTCACAGGGCTACTGAGTGGCAGGGTAGGGCCCCAGCTTGTAGCCCCTGGCCTGCCTGCCCTGCTTATGGCAGGTTTACGATGTTTTTCTCCCTCCTGAGTGGTGTTTGGCTTTTGGTTTCTATGGCGAAGCAGGAATTTCCTAATGGCCTGTTCCCATCTGGGCTGGGCAGACATCGGTGACGACTCTGCCGGCAGCAGCAGCAGGAGGGAAGGCACACCCCTCCGAACCTCCATTCCACCTCCCCCAGAGCCATGGACGCTTGACCCCCAGGCCCCGCCAGAGCCTGGGGATGCCCGGCGGATGAGTCGATGGGCTCCTAGCTGCTCAATGTGTGAGGCCTGGCTTGCCCCGTGTGAGCTAGAACGCTCGAGCTGAGCTGAGCTTCGGTAGGCCGTGGAGAGGGTGGAAGAATGAGGAAGGTGCAGGACTTCTGCTGCACCCTCTCTAGGAACCAGATCAGAGAGGGGTGGGGTAGTCTGTGGGAACAGGACCACACAGCCCTGCCTCAGTCACCATTGTGGTATAGGGAAAAGCACTAGAGTAGTGTCCTAATCCAGGGCATCGGGCCTGGTCTTGGGTAGCACTAGGCTCAGAGCCCAGCCCTTCTTGGTCCCGGCTCCCAGGCATGGTGGCCATGGTAAGCAGACATATCTGACCATCCCATTTTCTACCGCAGGCCGGAGGGCAGGAGCTGGCCCAGTGTCCCTGATGACAGCAAGGCTCAGGCACACAGGATCCACATCGACCCTGAGGCCCAGGTATGTACAGACACTGCCCGGCTGGCTCGGAGTGAGCCCAGGGCAGAGGGACCAGGCTTGGTCCACGGCAGATAATGAGTACCTGCCGTGGACTCGGTCTCTACTCCAGCCAATCCTAGCTTCTGGACAGAGGTGCCTGTGACGTCCAGGGACTGGCCTATGGGTTTCCACCCACCTGGTGGGAGTTCTTTCTGGTGTGAAGGGATGACAGACCAGAAAGAAGTCACCAGGCTTGGAGGGTGGAGGGAGACTTGGTGGCTGCCTCAGGCTGTGGAGTAAACTCAGGCCATGGGACATTCCTCTGTCTCATCCTAGCCTTAGGTGCCCTGTCCTCTCCTGGAGTTGTCTCCTGGCCATCCTGTGACCTCAGGCTGCAGATCCATCTGCCCAGTCACCTTTCTGTACATGACAATAGTCATAGCTATGGTCCTGTCCTCAAGGCGAGTGAGGGGACCAGGTTGCTCTAGGCCCTCGTTTTGCTGTGGCATGAGAAGTAGCAAAGTAGGCAAGGCTGAAGTACCTAGGGTCAGCTCAACACCTCTGGGCCACAGAGTTTGGGCAAGATAAAGACTGGATTAGTCTGTGATGGAGACAAAACCATGGGACTCAGCATGTGGGACCATGGCCTCCTGGGCCTGCTTTTGTCCATTCTCTTGACATAGAAGAAGAGGGACCAGGGTAGGGAGAAGAGGCGTCACTGAACTAGAGAGGAGGATCTTCCCTGGCTTCTTCCTCACTGTCTACCCCAATCTCATCTTGCTCTGACATTTGTTTCCTGCTTCATTTGGCGGGCCAGATGCTACCACACGCCATGGAGTGGCCATCCTGGCAAGGGAAAGGCACTTAGAAGTTCTGGGATAGGAAAGTCAGGGGCCAAAGGAGCCCAGAGTAGGCACATGACTCCGACAGAGGGTCAAAGAGGGCTTCCTGGAGGAGGAGGTATTGAAGGCCTATAAAGGCCCAGGAAGGATAAGGCAGGAAAAGGGGTGTAGCGAGAGGAAGTGTACTTGGGAACATGCAAAGGCCCAGAAGTGAGGTAATGCACACAAGTTCGGAGAACAGAAAGGTCAGGGGAAGGGAGGGCAGGGAGCGAGGAGGGAGAGGGCTGAGGCAAGAGATGAGATGGTGGGGAAGAGTCACTGAGAGGCTCTGGGGCACCTCTAGCCTGGACCTGGGCTGTTCTTTCAGGGATTCATGGCCACACTTGTGTCTCAGAAACTTGCTCTGGTGGCTTCACAGACCCGAGATCCTAGGGGCAGGAGCAACGGGGGCAGATGTTGGCATAGACAAATCAGCCAGGTTTTCATGGGCCAGGCTGAGGGAAGCAACACAGCATGGTTCCTGAGCTCATGGGTGAGGCCTAGCTTGCCTCAGAGGCAGCAGTGCCAGGGTGGACAGGATGGGGGTTGGGGGTGTTGGGCTTTGGAATTTGAAGCTCAGCTGTGTTCCACTCTCCAGGAGAGGCTCAGGGCCAGTGGGCCTGGGGGAGCTAGGGGCCGAAGCTCCCCCTGCCTCCATTTCTGTCCTCACTGACTGCTTCAAAGACCAGGCTACCAGTCACTCAGGCTGGAAGAGGAGGGATTTTCTACAAGCAACAGGGTAGCCCCTCAGCTGCTGCCCCACTTTTGTACTTAAAAGGTCATGGGCTCCATGTGTGGCGACAAAAACGCCCCCACCCCGCCCCTGCAGGGCTGAGTCCTCACTAACACAGACACAGGGCCCATTGTCCCCATACTCCTCCCACCCTCTGCCTGCAAAGGGGGGGAGAAGGAGGGGAGGGGGGAGGAAGCTAGCTGGAGCCATCAAAGGAGGAGGAAACTACAGTTGGCCCTATAACCAGCACAAGGTGCCCCTGACAAGCATCCCCAAGTGGGACGGGACAGGACCAGCCAGAGCTTCAGGCCCACCTTCCCTGTGGGGCCGTTGGAGACCCTTCTTCTCCCGGGCCTCATGTGGGAACACAGAGGCACTTGGCTCAGCCCAGGTGGCAAAAGGGTGGTGATAAGGAAAGATTTTCTGGAGGGAATGGCATTGAAGCGCTAAGCCAGGTGATGAGTAGCAACAAACCAGGTGGAGCAGGCTTGGGAGCCTGGTCTTTGAAGGAGTCAGTGAGGGTAGAAATGGGGGCAGGGGGAGCTGCTCTTCAGCCCCCAGCCCCCCCAGGCCCACTCAGCCTGTCCTCTGCAGACCAGCAGAGAGCTGGAACTTAGACTCGGAGATGCCACCTGCTCATCTGGACTCAGCATCTGCCTCCATCCAAGTTGAGTGACCCAGATTCTGCCCTGGGGTGCTGATAAGCAAGCAGCTGGTTACTCCCATTCTGCTGAAAACCCCACTGAGGCTTCAGCAACCAAGTCAGCAGCAGGCTGGTACTCAGAGCGGGGAGCATATGGTGTAAGGGGTGCCACCACACAAGCAGGGGAGATTCAGAACAGGGGCCCAGGGATTCCCATTTCCAACAGGTATGTACTATGTGCCAGGCACTCTGCTAAGCACTCTGTATGCAATTGTCTTAGTTAATCCTCACGAGGAATTCGGTATAGAGAACATCATATTCCCCAGTTCCCGGGTGAAGAAGCTGTGGTTCAAAGAGGTGAAGTGACTTGCCCAGTTGGGGAGTGATAACACTGAGACTCAAACCAAAACAGAGGTCACCACATGTGTCCTAACCACAGAGTCCAGACCTAGAGAGGCTGCTGCATGTGGCCATGGGAGGGACAATGGCTCTGATGACTCTGCAATAGACCCCCACACCCTGCTGGGTGGGAGTGAGTGAGGGCCTCCTTCCTCCCAGTCTCTTTGACTCCGACTTCCCCCTCTCATTGAAGCCCCCTCCCAGAGACCTGGCCTCACCCCCACCCCCACCAACCATAGCCCATCTGGTCCCCATTAGAGGCCAGCCCTGCCTGCCTGCCTGTCTGCCTGTCTGACAGACACATGTGCGAGTGCTCAGGTTTCCCGGGGGCTGTTGTTGGACCCGATGGGGATGGGAATCTTCCCGCTGCTGCTGCCATTGATGGGGGCCCACCTGGGCAGCAAGAGCCTCCCATCTGTTAGAGTGGGAGAGATGGGGCGTCCCCACCCCACTGCTGGCCTGCCCATTCCCCAAGCACCTACCCTGCAGAGAGCAGGGAACAGTCAGGGCAGAGCCCTGCAGGCTCGACTGTGCCTCAGTACTAGAGGCTGCCTGAGTCCATACACCGGCTCTTTCCCAACAGGGAGATGTCCTGTCCTCCTTGCCCAGTCTCCTTGTCCGCATTGCAGAACAGAGAGGAGATTTACATGTCACCTCCCAGGCTGAGATTTACATATCACCTACCCCATGACCTGGGCTTGGGCCTCACCCTAAAATCAGGTTGCTCTCTCTGCCAGCCTAGTCTCAGTCACAGCGACCACCACGGTCTTCTTCAGGGAGACCAGTGCTGGTTCCAAGTATATGTAACCATGTACGTGTGATTGGTTGTACATATGATTGGTTGGTGGACAGGCTTCTGCATGTGTGAGTCTTTAAAGGTATTTGTGAGAGTGTGCACACTGCTTTTCACATTGCTGTGGGTGTGCTTGTGTGTGCTTGCAAAACAGCTCTCCACTCTGCAGGGACAAAGATTTTCAGACCCGCCCCACAGAGAAGTTGCCCTTTCATGGGCTGAGAGGGCAGGTTCAGGGTACTTCTCCTCAAAATGTTTCAGCCATGGCCCCAGGTTGGCCGTGGAATAGCGGGGCAGGGAGTCTTGAGCCCTGGCTCCTCATTTGCTGTGCTATAGTAGACTACTCTTTGTGGCCTGGGAAGGAGCAGGTGCAGACCAGAAGGGGCCAACCTCAAAATGGACCTGGAGCCTCAGCCTGCCCAAAGGGCCTTGGACACCAATTGAAGACCCTTCCTGGCTGTAGGAAGGAGTTACCTTTTGGTGTTCCCAGCCATGGGCCCATCTAGTACCCGGCACAGTTCTGGTAGGTGGGAAGGCCTGGCAGCACCTCTGCCAGGAAACCATGTACTCAGCTGCAGCCACAGTGGCCTTCAAAGGCTCCTTGGGATGATCGTGCCCCAACCCCATCCCTCTTGGGCACTGGTGGTCAGAACCACCACGGACAGGGCTCACAAGCCCAGGCTGAGTTTCCAGCACTCAGATTTTTGTGTCTGACTTTCCAAAGACATTTCTCATTTCTGCAGGGGCCAAACCAGGCCCCAGGCTCAGCCATTCCCCCCATAAACCCTTTCTGTGGCTGGGCACCATAGGCTGTAGATGCCAGAGCAGAGCCGGCTAGCCAACATCTACCACTTGGCATAGCAGGATGGGGGTGGGATGGGGTGAGCAAGGACTGGCCAGAAGGTCTCCCAGTGCCTTAGGCCTCTCTCTCATAGGATGGCAGCCCAGTCACCAGCAGGCGGCCCTCAGGCTCTGGGATTGGGCCAGAAGATGGCAGACCAAGCCTGGGATCTCCATATGGGCAGTCCCCTCGCTTTCCAGTCCCTCACAATGGCAGCAGCAGTGAGGCCACCCTACCAGCCCAGATGAGCAACCTGCACGTGTCTCCACCCCACAGGTAGTACCAAGATGCCTTTGATACCAAGCCCAGAACAACCTCTCTCAATCCCTGGTCCCTCACATCTAAATCCCATCCTGACCCCTGACTTCATGCTTGCGTCTCAGCTGGTGACATTCCAACTCCTTAAGCCTCACCAGATACCCAACTTCCCCACCCCCCGGCTCCAAGCGTGAGGACTGGAATTGCAACCCTGTCTTTCCTCCCTCTCTTTCTCCCATCCAGTGCTGACCCTGCCCGAGGACTCCCACGGGGCCGGGACTGCAGAGTTGACCTGGGCTCAGAGGTATACAGGATGCTCCGGGAGCCAGCCGAGCCGATGTCCACAGAGCCCAAACAGTCAGGCTCCTTCCGCTACTTGCAGGGAATGCTGGAGGCTGGTGAGAGCGGTAAGTCTGCTGCCATCTCACCCCAACCTGCCTTCCCGTTCCCTGCGGCACCCAGATGGCCCCTCGCGATGCCGTGCTCCTCCTCCTGGTCATCTGTCCTGGTGGCCTGTTCCCTCACCCTTGCTGGCCCGTGTTCTAATTCCTACTCCACTGCCCCTGCTGCCCCCCTGCACCCACCCTCCCATCGCCACCCCATGCCTGCCAAACCCCTTCCCCAGGTGCAGGGCCCAACCAAACACTCCGCAGAAATGGAGTTCTGCCCTCCTCACCTGGCTCATGCCACCTACGCTCTGGGTTTCAGGGGAGCGGCCCGCACCTGGTGGCCCCCGGAACCTCAAGCCCACGGCCAGCAAGCTGGGTACCCCGCTGAGTGGCCTGCAGGGGCTGCCTGAGTGCACACGCTGCGGCCACGGGATCGTGTGAGTAATCCCAAACCCCCCACCAAGTTGGAGGGCCCTGGATGGGCTAGAGAATCTGGTGCTCATCCAATGCTGTCCTCCCCTATTCCCCCCACCCCCCACCCCAGGGGCACCATTGTCAAGGCACGGGACAAGCTCTACCATCCCGAGTGCTTCATGTGCAGTGACTGCGGCCTGAATCTCAAGCACCGCGGCTACTTCTTTTTGGATGAACGACTCTACTGCGAAAGCCATGCCAAGGCACGAGTCAAGCCACCCGAGGGCTATGACGTGGTGGCTGTGTATCCCAACGCCAAGGTGGAGCTCGTCTGAGCTGGACCCCAGTGCCCACCCCAGCTTCTTCTCATGTCCCCATGCAGCCCGTGTAAATATGTTCCACTCTGTCTCTCTAATAAAGTCCCTCTGCTCAGCCTTGAACCTGTCAGTGCCCTGGCCTGCCATCCTCCGGGTCATATGTACAGTAACATCTGTTCAGGTGCCTGGCATATCCTAGGCACTGGGTGCAAGGTGAACGAGACAGGCACCATGCGGCCCTGAGGGGGGCCACGGCCTGAGTGAACAGCAGATCTGAAGCACAAGGGGTAGCTCTATTCATGGGAGAGCTCTGTTATGGGAGGGCATGTTGCAAGGCCCCATCAGGAGGTCTGACCTGGGTTTGGTCGGAGAAGGTGTCAGCTGAGAACTAGGAGGTGAGGGAAGCAAGAGCCCTCCAAGGTGAGACCCTCTATGCAAGGGTGACATAGACAATAAAGGCCGCCTGTGGCCCCATCGGCACCAGTGGGAGCAGTCCCCAGCAGCCTCGGGAGAGACCACCTTGCAAGAGAAGGTGACTGGGGAGGAGCTCCCATGACCACCCTGGGCCACACTCACTTCCCGGCATTTATTTATTTATTTATTTTTGAGTTGGAGTCTCACTCCGTCACCCAGGTTGGAGTGCAGTGGCACACTCATGGCACCCCAGCATCGATCTGCTGAGCTTTGGCAATCCTTCTGCCTCAGCCTTCCAAGTAGCTGGAACCATAGGTGCGTGCAACCACGCCTGGCTAATTTTTTATTTATTTTAGAGACGAGGTCTCGCAAGTTACCTGGGCTGGTCTTGAACCTGTGGGCTCAGGCAGTCCACTTGCCTCGGCCTCCCAAAGTGCTGGGATTACAGGCTGAGCCAGGAGACCCCACTGCCCTGTATTCTTTCTCCCACTCCCGCCAATACCCACTTTCTTCGCGCTTCCCTCTTCCACTCTGCCCCCACCAGGGGGCGCACTTAATTTTCCATAGAGAAAAGGGAGGTTTTCAAAAAGAACACTTGCCCAGGGCTACTTTCCAAGATGCTCTCTCCTGTCCCCAAAGTCCTGGAGCAAATTCCACCCATCGTCAGAGGCCCAGTGGTTACTGGGAGGTGGGTCTGCCTTGGGCCTTTCATGCCTCAGTTACACACACTGATACAGACTCACTTCTTAAAAATATAAATGGCATCAGAGTGGGTGAAATGAGGGTGTTCATCCCCAGCAATGTGTCCTGGACTCCTGGTCGCATGGATATACCCTCTAGTTTGCTCGTTCTGGGCAAGAAACAGACTCGTTTTATGAGTAATTACTCAGAGCCCTGAGTAATGTGCATTTGTGCTATTTTCAATTTTGTACTATCACAAACTATAAGGCTTACCAGTTTACACTCACCATCAGCATGTGACAGTACTCATTTCCTTGCGTTCTTGCCAACACAAGATATTGCAAGATTTTGGGTTTTGTTTTTTTGTTTTTTTTTCATTTTGGCCAGTATGATAAGTAAAACATGGTATGTAGTTGTTTTAATTTGTCTTTCTCTGATTACCAGTGATGAGCATTTGATCATTCAACAAACAATTCTGGTGTGCTTTGCTGAGTGCCCAACGCTGAAGGAACAGGAGGGAACAGGATGGTCCTCATTCTCTAAAACAATACTTACGTTACTTACTCTAAGCCCTTCACCCGTTTTTCTGAAGTTTATTTAACTTCTAAATGATTAGTAGGAACTTTTCTTTTTTTTTTTTTTTTTGAGTTGGAGTCTCACTCCTTCACCCAGACTGGAGTGCAGTGGCATGCACGCTCACAGCCACCCCAGCGTCGGCCTGCTGGGCTCCAGTAGTCCTGCCTCAGCCTTCTGAGTAGCTGGAACTACAGATGCGCACTACCACACCCAGCTATTTTTTATTTTTTTGTAGAGACAAGGTCTCGCCAAAGCTGCCCAGGCTGGTCTTGAACCCCCAGGCTCAGGCAATACACTCGCCTTGGCCTCCAAAGTGCTGGAATTACAGGCTGAGCCACCAAGCCCAGTCAGTAGGAACTTTTCATGCTTTTGTAAGAATCTTTGTTACCAGAGTCTCTCTCTCTCATCTATTTTCCTATTCCTGTGACAATATGTCACACTGTTTTAATTACTACTGTGTCAGAGTTTAATAGCCAATTTCTCCTATTCTTCATTTACAAGCATGTCAAGTCTATTCAATTTCCAGTTGTCAGAAGTTGAGACTACCTATGTCAAACTCTGGGAAAAAACCTCTTTGAACAAGATTGGGGTTCCCCTGAATCTAGAGACTCACTTGGGGAGAACTGGCACAGAAGCCTTTCCTCCAGAAGAGGACTGTGATCTGCACTTACTCTGCGTTTATTCAGGTGTTGTGTATGTCTTCTCATAAGTTTTTATTTCCGTTTTCTTCTGATAGTTCTGTTCCAAGTGGAAAGTCTTCTAGGGATTCCTTCCAAAGGCTCCTTCTGCCTCTCCCTTCTGTGAGGGATCCCATTCCAGGGCAGTGGGCAGGTGTCCTAGAGAAGGGAAGCAGGAGAACTGGGTTTGAGTCCTGGGCCCTGGTCCTGTGGGTGACGAGAGGGGCATCCCACCCTTGTTCTCTTCTGTTCCCCAGGGATCAGAGGGTGCATAGCAAGGCCCCTGCCTGGCGGGTACCCAGGGCACACCCCCACCGTGGCACTGCGCACGTGTACACACACACACACACACACACACACACACACACACACACACACAAACACATGCGTGCTCAAGCCTCCTGCAGCCACACCAGAACAGGGTGGCTTGGTGGAAGAGTCTGCCTTTTCCTCTCCAGACCACTTTGCCAGAAGATTAGGTCCCAGCCCCACCCAGCCACACGAGGGAGAGGAGGGGATGACCGGCAGCCAGGGAAGCCATTTGGCACAAAAGCTGATGGAAAATTACCAGGAGCTGTGGGCACAGGTCCCCACCCCTCGTCCACACTCTTCCGTAGAGACTCGGCTCGCACTCCCACCTGCCATTACAAGCCCACCAGGCGCCAACACTCACCTTAATCCCGGGACACGTCTAAACCCTCTGTCCCCATAGGGATTACCCCCCTAAATTGAGCCTCCCTGGCACAGTTGACTCCCCAAGACCAACAACTCCACCCCTTCAGTGCTGCAGTTACTAGAGCAGCCACTGGTGGGCACTCCAGTTGGGGGAGGAGAAGGATGGGGAAGCAGGACTGCGGCTAAGGGGAGTCGCAGCTAAGGGGCGAGGTCTCCATAGGTGCCAATTCGATTTGTCTTGTCTCTGTTTCAAGGCCCAGTCTCTACCTGGTTCTCCAGTTCACCCCTTCTACCCAGGAGTCATGACTGGGCCCAAGTGTAATAGATCATTAAAACTTGGGACAGGGTCCTCGTGGGACTGTCTCAGTCCCAGTCCTGAGATGGGACAGCAGAGTCTCTTTCCAGGAGATGAAACCATACCCAGGATCCCCTACTCAGAGGGCCCCAGCCCAGTTGGCCCAGAGCCAACTCTCCTGTGGTCCTCATACTTCCCCTCATCCTCAAGTTCTGACCTCAGGGACTTTCCAACCAGAGACTTGGACATCACCCTCTACACTCTCACCCAACCATCCCATCCTACCCACCACTGTGTCTAGGCTCCCACCACCTTCTTCCTCACTCCCCACTCCAGGTTTCTGAAAACATCCTGCCTAAATCCTCAAGGGGAAGTAAGGAGGGCAATTGCCCTCCTCCTGCACCTTCAACTTCAACTCATTCATTCAAATAAATATTTACGAAGAACCTTCTATGTGCCAGGCATTGTGCTGCACACGTGTAAAACATTTTGAACAAACATGTAAAATAAATACAGACTATAAGCAGTGCTATCAAGGAAATAAAAAGGGTATTATAGTAGAGGATAAGGAATCTGGAAAGATTTCACAGAGAAAGTGACATTTGAACAGTGACCTGAGGTGGCAAGGGAGCATCTGTGTAGGTATCTGGGAGAATTGCATTGCAGGCAGAAGGAACAGCATATCCAAAGGCTCTGGACAAGGCAGAGGGAGGAGGCATGAGCTTACTGTGTTCCAAGAGCAACAAGGGGCTGGAGTGGCATGAATGAGGCTCATAAGAGAAGACAAGATCAGAGAGATGCAGGATTGGGAAGGCTGACCACGCTCACCTTTGCAAACCATTGTTCTATGTTGAGCAGGTCTATGAAACCTATTCCCAAAGGCCAGGGGAGTTGAGAGGCCAAAGAAAGAGGCTGACGGATCCAGGTTCTCAAAAAGAAATATGTAATTGAAACTTCCCAACAGAAGCAATGTCTCGGGTGGCTGTAACACAGTGGGTCCCCACACTGACTCTCCAGAAAATATTCTTTATACAGTACGTTTTTAGGGTAAAACGTACAGCTGGTCACATCTTCAGACTTTCTTGCCAAGACTCATGATGGGGGGTGGGGGGATCAAGCATCTTGATGGGGGATTGCAAATGCTATGGCCATTGTTTAAAATCTTATTGTAAAAGACCTTGGTATGTGAGGTCAAATATTGACCATCATGGCAGTGTCCCTTCAAGATGGCTTCGCTCCTGCCACTCAGCAGGCTGTTTTCCTACAACCATGGTAACGACTTTGGCTTTTACTCTGTGATGGAAAGCCAAAGGAGTGGCATAACCTGGAATTACGCTTTAACCAGGATCACTTTGGCGGCTGGGAGAATAGACCCTAAGGGACAAAGGTGGAAGCAGTGAGACCAGTCATGCCTATGACTGCATTCATCCCTAACTAATTCCTAACTAGCCCACTTTCCTCTGCCTCCGCAGTTCCAGCGCCAGTCCAGACCCCACCATCCCCTGCCTGGGCAGTGTAACAGCCTCTGCCTGCCCTTTCTGTCTCCTGTCTGATCCCTCAATCCTTTCTCTATGTAACAGCAAAGGGAGGTTTTAAAAATGCAATTCTGTGTCACTCCTTTCTGTTAAAGCTTCCATAACTCCTCGCTGCGGTTAGGACAAAGTCTAAATTCCAAATCTCAGCTCACAGGCCCTGTGAGGTTCAGCACCTGCTGACCTCTGCTGGCAGCCCTGCCTCATGTCCTCATAACCTCAGTTTGCTGATCTGTAAGTACAGTTTCATCAAGCTCTCCTTGAAACTCTTGC